GCACTGTCCTAGGGTTCCATTAGAGACTCAAATTCTATCATCAGCCCCAATCTAGATGGGTAAACTGAGGCACCGAGTGTGTGCACCTCGCCCGGGGTCTCAGAGCTGGTAAGGGGCAGAGGAGCTTCAAAGATCACTTCACAAAAGGGGAAACCGAGCCCACAGAGGATGAAAGGGTTCCAGCCCAAACTTCCCGTGGCGGGGGTGAGGGGGGGTTACAGGGTGGGTCGCGAGGAGGGGGCGCGGCTCAGAATCCACGACCTCTCAAATTTGCCCTCTCCCCGCCGTGGGGAACTATGACGTCACATGCGGGGAGCCGGGGCTGTGACCAGGAGCTTTGGGAATCCCATTCGGAAACCCGGGCGTGGGAACCGCGGGTCGCACTCACCTCCCGAGGCACTCCTTCGAAGCCCACACTTCGGGCCTCGGGAACGCGGCCGGGAGCGCCTCGCCGGCGCAGACTCGGCGTCCCTCCACCAGCGCGACCTGCGACAGCGCCCAGGTGACCGAGGCTTGCGGACCCCTGGACATCACTGACGGAGAACGCGCGCGGGACTAACTCAATGCGCATGTGCGCCCGCGATCTGTCGTTCAAAGCCGGCGGTGCGGCACCTCTGCCAATCGGAATCTTCCTTCCAGCCTGGCCCCGCCTCATTCATCAGGCTTCCGGCGTCCCGCTGTCTCCAGGGTAACCGTCAGACCCACGGCCCAAGAGAGGCCCAGAAACTTCTGGGCAGAGAAACGGGAGGTGCCTGGGAATGAGAAAGGTCTCCAACGCAGGCGTTCCTGCTTCTCTTCCCCGGCCCCGCTTGCCAGGTCCTGCCACAGGGGCCGACCCGGGGTCGGTTGTGAGGGGCCCGGCCCTCACTGCGGGCGTCGCTGAGCGGGCCCGCGGTCACTATGGTAACACCTCCGGCTCGCGGTCGGCCTCTTGCGTGCTGACGTCACGCGCGGAGACCTGCGAGAAGGCGGTGGGCGCATGCGCCCGGGGCGGGAGGTGTGGTGTTGGCCCGTGGGAGGAGCCGGGGTGAGGGCGGAGCTAGGGCCTGCGCTAGGACCAGAAGCGAGCATTGGAAGTCCATCCCCATCATTTAACACTTTGAGGAAACTCAGAGCTCATCAAAGTGCAACTGAAGAATTGGATATTTTCTTTTTTTTTCTTCTTTTTATTAACATATACTGTATTATTTGTTTCAGGGGTACAGGTCTGTGATTCATCAGTTTTACACAGTTCACAGCGTTCACCATAGCACATACCCCCCCCAACGTCCATCACCCAGCCACCCCATGGATATTTTCATTTTAAACTTTTTTATTTGGCGATAATTTTACATTTAGAGACAAGTTGCAGTTAGAGGGTGCCCACATGTCCCCCACCCCCAGCTTCCCCTGCTGTTAACCTCTCAGGACCGCAGCACATTTGTGGAAACACAAATCTTTCACATCAGAGCAATGCTGTTCACTGAACTCCTGCCCATTCACATAGTCCTACTCTCTCCTCCGGGGTCCTTTTCTATTAGGAACCACATGGCATTGAGTTGCTAGGTCTCCCCCAGCTTCCTCTGATCCACAACCTTTTCTCAGACTTTCCTTGTTTTCGATGACCTTGACAGTCTTGAAGGGTACTAGCCAAGTGTTCTGCAAAATGTCCTTCAATGCTTGCTCGTGACTACACTTGGCTTATGAATAGAAACTGACTTTTTAATTTAATTTTAGCTAAACATGTAACATTGCTAGTTGAGTCAATTATTGGACAGCTTCTAAGCATGTTTAGAACGATCTGGATATGTGAATCTACTTTTTCAACTAGATTTTATGAAATCTAATCACACAGATCAGTGATGTCTGGTGAAAAATTAGCATTCAAGTTGAGATGTGCTGTAAGTGAAAAATACATACCAGATTTCAGACTTAATACAAAAAAGAAGGATATAAAACAAAGCATTAATAATGTTTTTATCTGTTACAAGTTAAAATGATATTTTGGATATATTGAGTTAAATCGTATATATATATATTTTAAAGATTTTATTTATTTATTTGACAGAGAGAGACAGCGAGAGAGGGAACACAAGCAGGGGGAGTGGGAGAGGGAGAAGCGGACTCCCTGATGAACAGGGAGCCCGATGCGGGCCTCAATCCCAGGACCCTGGGATCATGACCTGAGCCGAAGGCAGATG